ACTAATACATCAAACCTAAGGGCAATTATAACATGAAACATGAGCTAGTTGAAGTGAAGTGTCATGCTCGGCTAGAGAATAAAGCAACAAAAAGATGTTTATGGAAGACATTTACATTATATTTCAGAATATTCAGACTAAGTGCATTCTATTATGAAGAAAAATGCAAAAGGGATGATCCAGTATCCATGGTAACAGAAGTAGTAAAGGAAAACATCAAACTTGAGGAAACAGCATATAACTATGCACAGATGACTGACAGGTCAGATGCTGGTCAGAAAAGAAAGAAAAACAGAGAATAACTACAAACTTACTCAGGAGGAAGAAATTAGGGTATGAGAGGAAGCTAACTAGGAATATTAAAACAGTTATCAGAAGTTTCTACAAGTAATTAGAAATTAAAAAAGAGGCAGTAAAATGAGTATTGGTGACTTAGAGAGTAAGAACAGGGAGGTAATTTATAGGGAAGTGGTTGATGAAAAGAGCAAATATTTTGCTTTGGTCTTCACTATAGAGTAAATAACAAATATTCCAGTCATGACTATAAATCAGGTGGTGGAAGGGAGAGAGGAGCTTAGCAAAACTGCAGTCACAAGGGAAGCAACAATAAACAAAGTAATACAGTTGCAGGCAGACAAATCTGAGTCCAGATGGACTTCAATCTAGGGTCTTAAAGAGGTTACGAGTGAAGTGGTTGATGCACTGGTGCAAATTTTCCAAAATCTCCTCGATTCAGGAAAGGTTCCATTGGACTGGGAAGTAGCAAATATACCCCTCTATTCAAGAAGGGAGAGACATAATAAATAGAAACTAGTTATTGGCATGTTAGCTTAACGACTGTTCTGGAGAAGGTAACAGAATTGATCATTGAAGAGATTATATCTGCACATTTGGACAAACTCAGAACAATCAGGATGGGTAGCATGGTTTCATGATGGGGAAATCATGTTTAACCAACTTCTTGGAGTTCTTTGAAGGCATAACATGCTGTGGATAAAGAGGAGCTTGTACTGCACTTGGATTTCCAAAAACATTTGATAAGGTTCACATCAAAGAAAATAAAGCTCTTGGCGCAAAAGGTAGCATGAATAGAAGGTGGTTGGATGGCAGAAAACAGTATGCTTAAATGGGTCTTTGGCAGGATGTGATAAATGGAGTCCCACTGGAATGTATGCTGGGACCACAACTTTTGACAGTTTCCGTCAAAAGTTTAGATGAGGGAGTGAAGCAGGTGGTGGCTAAATTAGCAACTGACACCAAGATAGGTCAGAATTTATTTTGTGAAGATGCCATAAGGAAGGTGCAGAGAGACAGATACGTTGAGTGACCAGGCAAAACCTGGTAGACGGAATATAATGTGGGAAAATGAGAAGCTTTTCACTTTGGCAGGAAGAGTGAAAGCAGTGCATTACTGAAACAAATAATGATTGTAGAATTGAGGTGCAGAGGATTTAAATATTCTGGTGTACGAGTCAACAAAAAGTCAGTATACAGTTACAGCACATAATCAACGTGGCTAATGGCTTGACATCCTTTGTTACAAGAGGAATCAAACATAAAATTAATGCTTCAATTAGACAACACATCAGTGAAGCCACATCTTGAATACTGTGTACCGTGTCAGTCTCTTTACTTCTGGAATGCCTTGGAAACAGCTCAGAAGAGGTTTATGAGACTGAAACCTAGAGTGAGCAAGCTCTTTTGTGCAGATGTGTTGGACAGGCTGGGCTTCATTCCACTGCAGTGTAAGAGTGAGTGGTGACTTAACAGAAGTGTATGAGACCCTGAATAGTCTTGACAAGGTAGACATGAAACAAATGTTTCCTCATATAAAAGTGAGGTCATAACTACAAGGCACAGTTTGAAAATTAGGGGTCACCTTTTCGGACAAAGATGAAAGGAATTTTTGTTCTGAAGATTGCAACTTTGGAACTCTCCACCTCAGAACGCAGTAGAGGCAGATTAATTGAAGATTTTTTAGGCAGAGAATCAGTTATTAGGCGTAGAGGAAAATGTGGAATTCAAAACATAAATAGATAAAGATGATCTTAGTGAATGGTGGAGCAGACTTACGAGCTGAATGGTCTACTTCTGCTTCTATTTCATATGCTCATAAATTATGGAGGTAATTAATTGAAATGAGTGTAGTATTTCTAGCTTAAAGCCGCAGATGTTCAAGAA